TACCTTTCCCTCCTCCCACTCTTTTGATCCTCTTGTTTGCAAAAGATCTTTCTACCTCCTATTATTTATATTTATTTTCCTTTTTAATTTATTTATGCTTTGTATTTTTTTTTTTTTAGACCAGAAATTGAACTCAGGACCTTTTACTTGCCAGAAAGGAGCTTGTGCCACTGAGCTACATCTGCAACCCTATACTTTGTATTTCTTATATAAGAGAAATCATCTGGTATTTAAGTTTGTGTGTTTATTTTACTTAGTCCTCCAACTTTGTTCTTTTTCAAGATTGTCTAGTTATGGTCTCTTGAGATTCCATAGGAAAAAAATTTTTTTTTTGAGACAGGATTTTGCTATATAGTTAAGGCATGTTTTGAACTCATTATGTAGCCCAGGCTGACTTTGAACTCAAAGTGATCCTCCTTCCTTGGCCTTCCATATGCTGGGATTATAGGCATGTGCCTATGGCTGTGGCTCTATAGGATTTTTAAGGATAATTTCTCTATTTCTGCAAAATTTAATGTCTTTTGGATTTTTCATAAAGATTACATTAAATTAGTAGATTGTTCTGGATAGTGTTGTCATCTTAACAATATTAAATCTTCTATTCCATTTAATTTGTTGGTGTTTCACAAAATCATGATCAGCAGGTAAAGGTATTATCTGTGGTAGCCCTGTCATGGCCCAGCCCCGTGGCCCATGCCCAGAGCTCCTGAACTGTTAATCCCAATGGTGTCCTCACTGTGGGCCCAGAGCTGTGGCTGGAAGGGGCCCAAAATGAGGGACCATTCAGTTTCCCCATGGAAGTTAACAGGACAGAAATCCAGGCCTGATGCTTTCTTTCACCAGTTTCTACATGGTTTTCTTTAAGGCTCTGTTTTTAGTTCCCTCACTTGTAATTTCTTCTGTTCTGCCAAACACTAAGCAATTTCTGGGCAGTGTGTCCAGGGGTGACCCTTATCCCCTCTGCTCTCACAGCTGGGCAAAACAGAGGAGGATTGTCCAGGAGCACTGGCCTCCTGCACTCAGGGAGGACCCACAAGGAGGAGGGTAAGACCTTCATTCAGGAGGCAGTGTGGACAAGTAGTCTCTGCTGATGGTGGACTGTGGCAGCCAGGCCCTCTCACCTGGGCCTCAGTGCCTCATGCTCACAGGAGAATCCCAAGACTCTGGGATGAGGTGTGGAGGTAGTGGGCTGCCCTATCACCAGCCTCCTTCTAAGGGGACGAAGTAGAACTTCAGTGCTCCAGCCTGCGGTATAGCTTTTCCCTCCTGCTCCCTTCCACCAGGCCCTGAGGAACTTGGTCCCTGCACATTACTAACAGTTAGGCCTAGCAGAAATTTAAGTCAAATTCTTACATAGTTCAAGTGTTACAGGAATTGAAATTTAGAGTTGAGGCCTCTACGGTCCATTGAGCAGTTTACTATTTAACAATAATACCCCTTTTTACTTTGGATATTTATTGTTTATTTTACTTTTTGAGACAGAGTCTCACTCTATAATTCAGGCTGGTCTTAAGCTCACTATGTAGCCCAGGCTACCCTCAAACTTACAGTGATTCTCCTGCTTCAGCCTTCTGAGTGCTCAGATTACAGGTGTGCATCCCCACACCCAGCTTGGATATTGATTTCTACCAGTCTCTAGTTTTTGTTTTGTGGTAATGGGAATCGAGCGAAAAGTTTCAGGCATGTCAGGCAAGTGCTGTATCACAGCTGCACCCTAGTGTGCCCCCCTTTTTGTGGTCGGGGCCTTTGCACTGAATTATATCCCAAGCTTTTTTTTTTTTTCCTTCCTTAGCTTTTTTTGTTTTGTTTTCACTTCTAATTTTGAGACAGGTAAATTGTCCAAGTAAGACTCAAAATTTCAGTCTTCTGCCTCAGCCTTCCAGAGTGCCTGCCTGCCTTCTTCTTCTTTTTTTTTTTTTTTTTTTTTTTTTCTCTACAGGAATCAAACTCAGGACCTGTGCTTGCCAGGCCAGGTACTTTGTCACTGAGCTATATTCTCCAAGCCCTCTTTCTTTTTCAATACAGAGAATAAACAAAATGGCCCATTATTACAGTACTCAAATACTATTTCTGGTAATAATAGATTAAAGTGATAGATGATAGATAAATAAAGCAACACAGGTGTATATTAGGAAATTCCAACCATGAAGAGCAAAATAGAAAGGTCCTCTATGTTACCTCTCCCTGTTACTTCTTATCTTTTTCCTCCCAGTGAAGATGGTGGTCTTAACCCCCCTGCTATCTCCTCTAGTACCTCATGGGCATGGCAGTCCTGCCTTGCAGGAGACATTGTGCACTGCCTGCCACTGTGCAGGACCTGGAGCTCTTAGCAGCTCAACCCCTAGCTTTCTACAAAGATGGCCTGATTCCCCTTCCTGTAGGAGTCAGCAGGACCCAAGGTTCACCACAGACAAGGACACTTCATGCTGACTCTACGTTCTGTACCAGATCCCTTGGCTGCCTGGGATACAGCCTTTTGGCCTTTTCCTGTAAGTTTCACATTGGCCACAGTGGCTCATTGTTCTTTTTGGTCACTCTCCTATTCATTTGTATGTTTTCATTGTAACTAGCATTTGTCCTCTGTGTCATTGCCAAGTTTATCAGTGCTCTCCTGAGCAAAATGGTTCCTTTCTTTTGCTTTTCACAAGGTGCTGGCACAGATACCACTGTAATCCACAGGGCAGTGCAGATATGGAGACCTGAGAGACTGTTTCCTGTGTCCCTTGTTGGGAGTCACTCCAGGTCCTGTCCCATTATCTCTCAGAGACCATCCGTGGTCTCCTCTGAGAGTAAAGAAGTGACTCATTGCTTTTGCCCCATCAGAGAAGGCTGAACAAGGCTGGCCTTTAGGGAAGGGACTGACATAGTTGGACCCTGGTTAATTCTAGATTATGGTCTATATTAATGATTGTCTAAAACCAAATTGAACTCTGCAGAAATTCTTTCCAGTTGCCTGCTGGGCTCAGACAGGTGAAGTCCAGAGCTTGCCTGCAGCCAGAGGGTAGGAGCCAGGCTAAGAAGCAGCTGCAGAGATCAGTCAGCCAATGGATGCCAGAGCAGGGTGCAAGCATGTGTGCACAGACCTGGTGATCACATATCCACTCTGTAAATAGGCAACGTGGCCTAGGCACCCCGGAAGTCTGGGTGCCCACACCTCCCTTCCTGGGGCAGAGCCTTCATGCACCTGTTTATCTTCTGCTTTGACTTCTGAGTGTCCTCCCTTTCCCAACTACCATGGCACTAGGAGTCCTAAGACTGCCCTGAAACAGGCTCAATGAAAAACAGGATCTCAAGTGACCACAAGGCTGCTAATGGAAGCCACTGAGTTCCTCTTTCTTGTGTCCTTTCCGTTTGAGTCTGGCCTGAATCATGGGTTTCTGCTTTGAATATTGTGAACTCTGTTCCATCCTAGCTTGACTGCTCACAGGGTCCTAGCCACCCACCCTGAGTAGGGTTTTTGTTTTGTTTTTTGCTTTTGTGTTAGGGAACCATCCAGTGCCTCATATGTTGCTATGCTTTACTACGCCCTAGCCCTTATGTATGGATTTAGAGGGTCTTCGAGTCAAAGCTATGTCCTACATCAGCAAGTCCCACCCCATCCTGGACTTTAGGGGAAGGAAAGATGCTTGTATTCTCCTATAATTCCCTTGAAGGCTTTTTGTTTGGTTCCAGGAACCTTAATTAAACAGGGCTAAATGACAAGAGAAAAGCTGGGTATGATGGTGCAGGCCTACAGTCTTAACACTCTGGGAGGCTAAGGCAGAAGGATTGAAAGTTCAAGCCCACCCTGGGCAACTTAGCAACATACCAAGACCTCATCTCAAAATATAAAGTAAAAAAGGACTGGGGATGTAGCTCAGTGTAAAGTCATGAATTCAATCTCCAGTACCAGGAAAAAAAAATGCAAATGTTACTAATTTTACCTGTACTTGGGGATTTCCACACAACCATAAGCTCTGAAGAAATGGCCAAAGCGGGGCTGGGGGTTTAGCTCAGTGGCATAAGCACCTGCCTTGCAAATGTGCAGTCGTGAGTTCGATCCCTGGTACCGATAAAAAGGAAAAAGACAAAAAAAAAAAAAAAAAAAAAAGAAATGGCCAAAGCAAGATGTGTTCACACTTGTTTAGACAAAGAACAACAACTTTGTAAGTACTAAGTCATATTTCTGGACTAGGGCTATAAATTCTAGGCATGTCACTTAAGAGGTATTCTGGGTGAGAGTGAAGCTGGTGAAGATAAGGGTTACTTCAAATTTATGTATTCAAATTCATCATGGCCTGAGTGTCCAGGTCTCTGATGATTAAGGGCATTTTTTTCTGTTTTGGTACTAGGAAAACACTATTCTCAAGAAATCTTTCTAACCTGCTACCAATAGGAAAATAGCACATTAAGTTGGGCATGCTAGTGCATGCCTATAATCTCAGTATTTGGGAGGCTGAGCAGAAGGATTGTTGCAAGTTCAAGCCAGCCTGGGCTACAAAGTGAGCTTGAGACCAGCCTGAATTGCATAGCGAGACCCTGTCTCAAAAAGACAAAAACAACAACCACAACAAACTACCACACAACCTGCCTGCACTCACTTCCTCTTCCAGCTGAAGTAACCCTTAGATTACTTACTGTGTGGATTCAGCACATTCTGAAATGGCCTAACTTTAACTGTCCCTGGGAAAACACTGGGGCAGAGAATTGTGCCCCTATAGGCTTCAATGCACAGCCACCAGTGCCACACATACATCTGCTCTATCCACAGGTGCTAGAGGGCATGGGGAGGCAGGCTTACCTGATTCTGACCCAGTCAGGAAACAGGCATGTGGCTGGCTTCTCCTATCCTTGGCCCTCCATGAACACAAGGGGATACGGACAATTCCTCCAAACTGAGGACAGTGTGGGTTACATCAGGAAGGGCCTAGAATACTTAAACCTCTCTCATTCCTCCCCTTCTGCAAATTCCCTTTACCCTACCCACTTTGTTTGTCTCACTCTGTGCTCCACCCCTGCAGATGCTAGGAGCCCCGCCTCTGCTGTTGGCAGCCGCCTCATTGGGCATCACACTACTGGCCTTCCTGCTGGCCTTAAGACACTGGGGCTGGGGCCTGTTACTCATATGCTGGTTTGAGTTTATTCTGAAGCCAGTTCAAAACCTGATCATGGGTGACACCAAAGAACAGCGCATCCTGTCCTATGTGCAACAGCATGCAAAGCCTGGGGACCCTGAGAGTGTGCTAGAGGCCATCGATACTTACTGCTCGCAGAAGGAGTGGGCCATGAACATAGGACAAAAGAAAGGTGGGTGACTTGGCCAGTGGACCTAGAAATGGGGATCTGGGGCAGGGCAGGACAGCACAGACCTTACAAGTGGGTGCTGTTATCAGGGGGCAGTTGGGAAGCTCAGGGGGTACTGAGGTGGGAGTGCTAGGCTCATCAGGAGCTTGAGCCACAGCCAGGCAAAGACTATCCACAGCCCTAGGTACCCACTGCAGAATTTAGACTGCTATCCCAGAGGGGAAAGATGGAGCTTTGACAAAATGTGCTTTGTACATTTTGTTCCTGGTGGAGGCCACTGTCCAGGGACCTGGGGGTTTGAATCAGGCTCTGCAAAATCCCTGTCAGGGACATCTCTGTTGGCACTGGTCCCTAGTGACTCTTTTAAGACCTTGCCTCAATGGTTCCATGTAGGCCCCATGCTCACTAGGTATGGGCATGGCACAGCTCCCTTTGACTTCTGTCTGGTCATAGGTCCTGGCTGGGAACTAGTTAGGCAGGTTCTCCTGGGCCTGCCCCTGGCCTTGGACTCTGGCCTGGGCGTAAGTGTGCTGCACTCCATCCCTACCCCACACCTGATATGCACAAAGGCATGGAGCCCTGGAGGGCAATGGGGATTCCATAGATGTGTTCAGTGGGGACCAGGTTCTTGGGACTGAGACCTTGGGGTAGGTAAAAGACCCTCCCCAGCCAGGCATGGTGGCACACACCTGTAATCCCAGGGCTGAGGAAGGAAGATCACAAATTCAAGGCCAGCCTGGCTTTACAGTGGTGAATTCAATCAGCTTGAGGTTTATATTAAAACCCTGTCTAGGGCCAGGGATATAACTCGGTAGCACAGCACCTACCTGGCAAGCACGAATTTGTGAGTTTGCTTCCCAATAACAAAAAAAAAAGAAAGAAAACCCTGTCTCAACTCCACCATTCCCGCCCAAAGGAAAAGATGAAAGACCCTCTCTAGCACTGGGTAGAGAGGATGGGGAATAGGGAGGAGCCGCTGCTTGATGCAGAGAGGGTGAAGCTGCTCCCCTCTGTCTACCTGTGCTCACACCTGCCTCAAACACCCCACAGGTGAGATCATGGATGCTGTGATTCGGGAGCATGGCCCCTCCCTGGTGCTGGAATTGGGGGCCTACTGTGGCTACTCAGCTGTGCGTATTGCCCGCCTGCTGCCACCTGGTGGGCGGCTGCTCACCATGGAGATCAACCCCGACTTTAGTGCCATCACCCAGCAGATGCTGAACTTCGCAGGCGTGCAGGATAAGGTGTGGTATGCCTGAGCAGACAGATGTGAACAATGAGGCTCAGAGGGGACTAGGTGAGCAGGAATACCCAGATCATACCTGAATTCAGTTCAAAAACTGAACACCCAGCCAAGCAAAGTGGTATACTCTCTCTGGGAGGCTAAGGCAGAAGGACTGCATGGAACAAAGATTGGGCAACTTAACAGTTAACAAGACCTGTCTGGGGATATAGCTAAGTATGAAGGTCCTAGGTCCAGTCCCCAGTACTGCACAAAAGAACACCACCAACAACAGTAAAATCCCAAAACAAAACACTAGCCAGGCCCTTTTGTGCTCAGGGTTAAGGAAGGAACCACCAGCAAGTCTGGGAAAGTGGTTTCACTGCTCCCTGTGGGAAACAGGCAGAGTGCAGACTCTGAGTAACCTCAGATTCACAGTCAGCTGTTAGGGAAGTACAAGCCCAGGCGTCCAGGCAGGAGCTGCTATGTCCCTCGGAGATGATAACAACAGCACACTGTTCCAGGTCACTATCCTGCTGGGGGCATCTTACGACCTCATCCCCCAGCTGAAAAAGAAGTATGACGTGGACACGCTGGACATGGTCTTCCTTGACCACTGGAAAGACCGCTACTTGCCAGATACCCATCTCCTAGAGGTGAGTAACACCTACTTCATGCCTCCTTTAGATTCTGTTTTGATCTAAACTGTAACAACCATGGAGACTCTGGGTGGAAATGGGAGAAAAGGAGTTTGGGGCAGGCGATGTGGACCAGGAACTGGGGAGCACGACTTGTTGGGGATGTGGGTACAAGGTGTTGCCATGCAGAGTGAGCACCATGACCCATAATGTCTGGGTCATGGGGGGCAGAGGGCCAAGGAAACAGAGCAGCTCCAGAGCCAGGCAGAGCTCCAGATTGGGCATCAGCTGGTGCTGGCACAGTAAAAGCAATTGTGTCTTGGATTTTCCTCTTGAGGTTTCTGCTGTCCAGTCCTTTAGCTCCTCAGACTCCTCCCAGCCCTCAGCACTGCTGCTCACCCTGCCTCACCTGGCCAAGACCTCGGCAATGACATGGAGTCATCCTCATTCTTAGTGGTGGCTGGGGATAAGTAGGAAGGAGATGTGCAGGTCAGGACAGGACAGGACAGCCAAGGGGAGTTCTCTTAGGCAGAGGGAGGCCCACCCTAGAAAGGGGGTATAAACCTGAAAATTGGGTACTGAAGGCAGAGAATACGCAGCCGACTAGATGGCTGCACTTGGATGGAGGGCTGGTGTCACAGGAGTAGATTTCAGCAGCTTTTAGTGCATCTGATAATTACAGAGGCTTGCTTTTAGAAAAGTAGCAAATATTGCAGTTCAGTAACTAGGAAACTAATAGTTTTCTCAGTGCTTGTTCAAAACTAGCAATTATCTCAAAAGAAGACATGGCATGAATTGGAAATAGCTGTACTTTTAAAATTGGAAACGGCTGTACATTTAAAACATGCTCTGCATACCCACAGCCGGGGCTCACTACTCCCTGCTTGTGTAGCTTCCAGGCCAGCCTGGCACTGTGGAGACTCAGCCACCCACTTCAGGAGTAAGGGTTAAGGGGCATAGGGACAGGTGCAAATTCAGAATTGGATGGCTACTTTGGTGGGGGGGGGGGTCATAGGTTCTGTCACGCAGGTGGCTTTACAGGGCTGCTTGTGTATCCTCGCGCCTTGGTGGATACGCAGAAGTAGACCGAAGAAGCCTTGGTGCCTTTGTATGGCCAATTCTGTCACTTCTGCCTTATTCTGTTAGCATTACCAAATCTGGCACTTGTCCAAGGGGAGAATAAGCCTCCACATGTGAAGGGAAGAATGTCACCAGCACGGTGGACAGTTCAAAAACTCCTGGCCTGCAAGGCTGTTCCCTCCCACATCATTGTCTGCATGACAGCCATGGGTTTGCTCAGACTCCAGTATGTTTTCGGCCAGAATTCCAGAGTGGTCACTCAGGAGGCTCAGGTGATCTGAGGACAGGCAAAATATAGGAGCTGCCTTCTTTCCCCTCAGCTGAGTTTCCTAAAGAACAGTGAGCCCTAGAGCCCCCCCAAAAGTGACCAACACTTCTTTTTTGCTATAATGAATATGATTTTAGGGTCACTGGTTTTACTGGTAGCCAAATTGTGCCCCTTCAAGCTGACTCTCTAGTCCCTGGCAGACCCTGAGAGTTTGAAGACCCAGACATCCTCCTCATATTGTACATTTCCTGCTCTAGACTTGAGGGAATCCTCTCTTAGGTCCTAGAAACCTGTGGCCTCCTGCTGAGCAGGTCTATTCTAGGTCTTTTCAGCCAACATTTTCAGCTTTGTAAAAAGAAGATAATACACTGTGATATATAGTGGTGCTTCCTATTCAAATTGTGGAACATGGGACTGTCCTGTGACCTAAGAGCTTCATTTTCTACAGGGTCCCTAAGGATCCCTTAGCTTTCTCTCAAAGTTTGTTGACTAGAAATAACTGTCTCCCTCAAACAGAAAACTGCATGGCTGTTTAGAGTAGGGCACAGAGTCAAACACCAGTGCTTTTAAGATCTCTGCTATATACAATTTGAAACCTAGGTCACATTTTTTTTTCTCAGTTTTCAGGATGGAACCCAGGACCTTATACATACCTGGCAATCACTTTCTCACTGAGGTACATCCCTAGATTGCAGTGGCAAGCAAAAATGCCAAAACACCCAGGATTTAGAGGCAGATTTAAATTTACAGGTACTAATCAGGGTCACTCCCAAAATATCAGGCCCCAATTTCTGGTGGTCTAGGGCTTATTTGAGATAAGCAAGCAGGAAGTACAGGGGCAGAATGGCTTGTCATTTGGGAATTGGTTTATATAGTGTGCATCACAGTGACCAGCCATTTCTAAGAGACAGGAACAACTAAAACTGCAACATGAACTATTACCTGGGCAACTAAGAAATTCAGGTACACTGGCAGGAGGTGCGGGGTGACATTTTCTGTCATAAGGTCACTTGTTTGATTTTGCTTTTATTTTCAAGATTACTTTCTTAACTTTTATAATTTGGTGGGGGGCGTACCTCCAAAGTCAGCTCCAAGACAGGGACATCGCTTCTCCAGCTGCTTCTCCCCACACCAGGATACACTTCCCCTCAATGTTGCTTTACTACTGTTTTTGTGATGTAAGCAGATCCACCTCCCAGCTTAAGACAAGTGTCCTATCACTGATGTTTCTCCCCCAACAGTGGACCCTAGGGGCCATTTCTTGTGGTACCATGTCTGATAATGACTTCTTTCTTCTGCACAGAGCCTGGGCCCAGGAAACCCAGTGTTCTTCCCAGCAGAAATAGGGTCTGAAAATGTAAGGAGCTTGGGCTATCCAGAACAGACATGGGGCATTTTTGACAGTGGAAAAGCTGACCTTTCCAAAGTCAAGATGACCTTTGCAAAGTCACCCTAGGCAGGCTGGATATCACCCTTGTGACATTAGCAGCCAAAGCCCCCAGACCTTGTCCCTTGCAGGTGCCTATGTTACTAGCACTATGTGTCTGCGGGACATATTGGCCATACTCTGGCCCAACCGCCTCTGTTCATGCAGCATTTACTGATCAACTGCTATGTGCCACATATTGTTTTAGTGGGCAAAGATGACTACAGGAATGAACGGAGGCTGGGGTGTATCTCAGTGGTTGAGCACTTGCCCAACATACACAAGGCCTTGGGTTTGATTCTCATCACCACATAAAAGGGGGGTGGTAAATGGAAAAGCAAAAGATCCCCATTTTCATGAACCTGATGGTCCAGAGGAGGCACTGAAACTTTTCTGCAGTGGCTGCTCTGAAGAGAAAATTAAGAGTTAACGAGACCCAGACTGCTGGGCTGAATACAGGCTAGTGTGTGAAGCAGCAACCCAAGGAAAACACCTGTTTTGGGTTTCGTTTGCCAGGTCCTCTGACCCTCCCACCTCCACTGTCTGTCCCTTACAGGAATGTGGCCTACTACGGAAGGGGACAATACTTCTGGCTGACAATGTCATTGTTCCAGGAACACCAGATTTCCTGGCATATGTGCGTGGGAGCAGCAACTATGAATGCACACACTACAGTGCGTACCTGGAGTACATGAAGGTGGTGGATGGCCTGGAGAAAGCTGTCTTCAAAGGCGAAGGCAGCCCAGTGCAGTCTTAACTGCCCACCCTATGTTCCTCTGCCAGGTTTAGTCCAGAAGGATGAAATGGATGTATTCCTGCCGAGGTCACATCTGTGATTCTCCGGTCTTTCCTTAAGTATAAACCATACTGGAGGCTTGTGAGGTATAAGCCTTCTTTAGGCTGACTTTCTGTGTTACAGTTCCAAACTGTCACATACTGGCACACTTCAAAGTGTAGGGGCCTCACCATGCAAAACCACTGCAATACATCTGGATGATATCTTCTGATAAAGACTGAATTGAGGGCTTATCTATAACTCAGTGGTAGAACACTTGCTTTGTATGCATGAGGTACCAGCTGCAAGCCCTAGCACTGCAAAAAAATTTTTAAAAATTGGAGTAGAGCCAATAACAGTGTCACCAACTGGCAAAAGGAATTCCAATAGGGTGTGTACATATATTAGTTTACAGACAATGACAAATCTGTTAGACCTAGAAAAGGGTGAGGAAGCTGCAAACATCTGAAAACTGCTGGGCTTATGCCCAAGCTGTCCTAGAGGTTTGCTGTCAACAGGTGGCAGCAGTATCTCAGTGACAGTACCAACTACCAATTCACATCATATTTCTGACTCAAATTTTTACCTTTTCAAGAAAAAAAAAGTCATAACCTCTTTACTAAACTTAGCTAGCTATAATAATCTACACCAAAACATTTAAGATGTAAAATAGAAATTAAAGATCTAAATATTTATACAAAAGGTCAACTGAGTATTATTCTTCTCAATTTACTCCTTCTTTTCTGATACCCTCAGTTTCAATACCAAATACACTAAGTCCCCTTCAACAGGATGCTAATGCTATAGGCTAGACTCATGACTGGTGTCACGCTCAGCCTAGGGGCTCGTGACTACAGCAGTGGAAAGGAGTCAACCCTGCTTTGTACTCCTCTTCCTTGTCAGGCCAGGGACACATTAGGTCCACCAGGATATCTGTCTCTCCAGGAAGCCAGAACAGGGCAATCGGTCAGCTTTCACACCCATCTCTGACCAAGGAGGTGCTGGATCAGGTAGGCTTGGAGTTACGTGATGTACTCAGGCCCTCTGGACACCTAAGTGATCTTGAGTAGAAGTACCTTCTCTTGTTCCACCCAATCTTGTTTACCAGACAAGAAAGGTAGGCTCAGACTGGCTGGCTATTTCTGCTGATTGCCCAGCTGGCAAATGATGAAGTATAGTTGGTTTGTGTTGACCAATGTCCAGAGCTTCCCCATTTGCCACCTTGGCCCTCAGACCTTGACTACCCAAGTAAAATGCTGGCTTCCCAAGAGAATCTCCAGGGCCTTAGTAGGTGTCTAGTTCCTAGCCTAGTCCACACCAACCCTGAACAAGGCTTTGTTCTTGGGTTTAAGGCCAGCTAATCACTCAGAAGCCAGCCTAGAGGGGATCAGCAGCAAGCCAGGGTGAAAGGACATGGGGAAATGCTCAAGCCCCTGGACCCTGTTGGCTTCAGTAACCTGGGGTCTGTCTCCCCATTCCCCACCCTTCACCTGGGGAGGGGCCGGCGGGTTGTAAATGGTACTCTGACAAGGAAGACAAGAAGTTCCTTTGCTCCTTTTTTTAATTTTTAAATTTTCTTACAAAAATTTAGATGTTTACCAATACAATCTTCTTTTGGTTTCATTTTAAATGCTTTTTTATCAGCGTTTTTCTTCTGTTTTTAAGTCATAAACAGCAGGCACTGAACAGCAGTCTCCTGCCACCACTGGAGGTCAATCCTGGAGGTTACTGAGGTTCTGGACAGACGCAATGCTGCAGGCATGGTGGCCCCAGCCAGAAGTGGCTCAGTGCAGGGTCCCTCTGCTTTGGAGTCCCACACATCCACAGGACTCCAAGGGTAGAAGGGGGTAAGTGGAGCCAGACCCTCACCTCACTGCCTCCGAAGCCTACCTGCCCAGGCCTACCCTTATAGAGCAGCCCCAAGTTGCTGGGGGTCAGCCTGCCATGCAGAGTGAAGTTTTGGTCAGGGGATCCCCTCTGGAGTTCAACTTCTTTCCCTAAGACCCCTCCCTGCCTCGCTGTTCCTCCCCCAGGCCATATTGCTCCTCTGGGACACCTTGCACATGGGGCACACACTCCTATTCTGCCAAAGCATAGTCAGGCTCCCTCCCATATTGCCTCCCTGGATCCCACCTCAGTGTTCTCACATTCACACTCACACTCAAACACAGCACCATGTCAGTAAACAGCTAACTCAGGTCTAGGAGTTAGGTCAAGAGAGCAGAGGGAGAGACAGACAGGAGGGGGTGCAGAAAAATCAGGCCCTGCTCAGGGCGGGAGACTCCACCAACCCCTGCCACCAGAGGGCTCCAAGCTTCACGACAGGGTCTGCCCAGGATGGCCCTTCTCCTGGCGATCCAATCTCTTAACAAATGGCTGAGCCTGGGCCCTGCAGATGGAGGGGAAGGTGGACGCTGCAGTGAAACACACAGGTAGCAAAGCCAGCAGAATGGGGCAGGGCAACATACAGACAGGGCAACTGCCTCCACAGGCCACACTGAAGGAGATGTGGACAAAGAGTTCCAACTGCTACAGGTCGGGTAGGGTGGAAGACACCCCCAAATAACTTGACACCAAGGCAAATCCTGAATCACTGGTCTTTATGAAGCCCTGTGCTAGAGGTGTTTGAAAGTCCAGGTGCTCATCCCTGATCTCACAGTGCCTAGCATGGGGCTGGGAGCCCTGAGAAGACCCTCCTGCTCAGACTTCTGTCTGACTTCGCTTAAGACGAGTGCTTGGGCCTGCTGTGCTTGCTGCAGAGCACACGAGGAGAGCAGAACATGCAGCCAGCAGAGATTAACAAGAAGCCCTTGCCCAGGGAAAATGGACAAACAACCAGACAAGAGAATCACCAGACAAGAAAACGTACCAGGCATGCAAGCTAGACCCAGGAGTCAACAGGCTGAGGCTTAGAGTCCCCCACGGCGTCCACCAGCCTGACCGCAGGCCTGCTGGGCCCGGGAGGAGGGGCCTTCCTGCTGGGGTCGGGCTGCAGCACATGGGTAGGTGGATGAGTGGGTGAGCAGCAGGACGTTAAGAGGCAGAACAAAGCAAGTTAGCTGCAGCTAAAGGGCAGGGCTGGGCTGGTCAATGGGATCAGGGCAGTGCTGTAAGGATGAACCCGCCAAGGCAACACAAGGGAGCTGAGCTGGTGTGGCTCACACAGGCTTGGGAGGCACACGGATGTACACAGAGGCCCGTGCATGAAGCCAGGGAATTGGCACAGAGCAGGTAGCAGGTGCTGTCCTCACCAATGGACTATGGCAGGCACCTTGCCCACACACATGCATAAAGAAGTATGAATACCTGCTTGCTCAGGCTTTCTGGTCCTCTGCAGTGTATAGCAGGGGCACTCTGTTCCCTGTGCCATTCTCCCCAATAAGCATGAAGTGCAAACCCATCAGCACTCACAGGCTGAATGATATAAGGGGCTGCCTCCTGGGAAGGGCTAGCTGCCACACCAATGCGTGCCACCCCAGTGGTGCCCAAGATTAAACTCAGTATTTCCTGTCTACTGTTTGGGTAAGCTCTAGACCCAAAGCCTCCTGGGTAACTTGCTGATGGCCACTTACTTTTAATGGTTCCTTCTCAGAGGCCTCCCCTGCAGAGTGGCTGCCCAAAGCCCTCCGCTCCCTCCGGTCCACTGTAGAGTATCCATCTGTGGAGTGGGGCAGAGCAGGGGATAGAAAAAAAGCTCTGAGAGGTGGCACTGTAGGAACAGGTGATCTCAGCCCAGAGTGAGTGGACCCCTAGAACAGGTGACTATTGAAGTCTACACATACTCTGTCTTGGAGCCAGCTCTCACCACCCTGTCTTACTCTATAAACTAAATCTTTTCTATTATCAGTACCTCCTTGGAAAGCTTTCCCATCACAAACCTACCCCACACAACCATCAGGCCCACCCCTCCTGAGCAGGAACCAAGCCTGTACACTTGCGCTCACCTGGACCAAGTGTATCCATGGGGATCACATCTCGGCTGCCTGGCTTCTCACCATCTGCAAGGCAGGAGCAGGTGATTGCAAGCAATGAGTAGGTTGTAGTGGGACCAGGGCAGACAGGCAACTGATGGCCTCAGTAACACTAGGTGCCCTTTGGCACTAGCTTCTTTGCATTCCTCTGTCCAGCCTGTTTTCTGACAGCTACCCTCCAGCTTGGCACCCATGCAGACACCGTAGAAATGCAGTACCCAGAAGGCTGAGAGCAGGGAGATGGCCCCTCAACCATGCGGTCATCTTAGTGGGAGCAGGCCTGTCTCTTTTCTCCCCCTTACCCACTTTGTTACCATCAGTGCAGGTAGGTACTCTTGAGCTCAGGAATGGACAGAATGCTGCCTCTACTCACCAAGACTCTTGTCTACCAGTGGCAGTGTGCTGTCATCGAAGCCCCCGGGACTCTGTGCTCCCTTGGGACCCTTGGAGGTGGTAGCAGCTGACTGAAACACAAAATACAGAAATGAGGTGAGGTCAAAGGCTTCCTTGGCGACCTGATCTAGCAAAGTGAGAGCAGGAAACCAGGAAGAGTTGCACACCTGGAAGCGTGCCTTGGTCCAGCCATCCTTCTGCAGGGCACTGCGTAGCTCCTTGTAACTCCACACCGTCTGCAGCACGTGTGAGGCTGCCTTTGCTTCTCGCACTGACTGGCTGTGGCAGGCGAGGAGTAGGGTCAGCAACCTGCTCCATCTCATTCTCCCCTGCCCCATCCCCAACACCCCGCTCCCACCCACCTGGCTGCCACCAGTGCCACAAGCGCTGGCACACCATGGGCCTGTAGAAGCGAGCGTGCATTGTCCAGGCTATCAGACACAATCTCATGGATGGTGTTGAGCACAGCCACTACCGTGTCCTCCTCCAGGTGGGCGCCAGGACGTGTAGGGGCCTGTGCATTGCGCACGTTCCGTACCAGCTCAGTCATGGCATAGCTTCCTGAGAGGCAGGGTCAGATGTCAGGACACACCTGTGCCCCATCCATGCCAGGAAGGCACAGGGGTCAGGTGATAGGTGCCACCGTGACAGCCCCTCAGAAAGCAAGCTGAACCTTGAGAACAGGACCAGAGAGATGCAAGCTCCTGTGGCTGGGACCAGCCCAAGCCACATGGGCAGGGCCTGGACCCCTGAACTACTTCAGAGTGAGCATCACACCCTAGTTTGGCCCTTCTAGCCTTCTCACCTATGAGGTCTTTGTTGCGCCGGTCCAGCGAGAGGTTTCGCAATGCAATGGCAACAGCACGCACCACCTTGTCTGTCTCGGACTGCAGCAGTTCCACCAGCACTGGCAGCCCGCGCTCCTTGCGTACTGTGGCACGGATGTATGTGGCCCACTGTGATGGTGGGGGCATGGTGGTGGGCTGCTCTGCAGGAGTCAAGCAGCACAAAACCCTACCCCCCAGCAGCTTCAGCACACCTCTACTGGCTATAAGTGTACCACACTGCACCCCCAAGACCTTGTAATGGAATCCCGCTCTCTTCCCACAGCCTGAGCAGCGGCTACAGGCAGCACAATAGGGTGCTACTTTCTGTTCAGCTCTTGCCACCCCCCCAAAGATCTGGCCCTCACCATCCAGTTCCCAGCACTGAGGTTTTGCAAAGCACCAGCGGCAGCTTCCAGAGTATTGAAGTTCCGGCTCTCCGTAAGGAGGGATAGGTAGAGACGTACCACTTCGGGCTGATACAGCAGCTCAAAGCCTGGACACAGGGCAAACACACCCATGATCATCTAGATTCCCTTCCTGCTTCAATTCCTCACCCCCATCCACAGTACTCCCAGAGGTGGGGCCAAGGTGGGTGTGGAGCAGTGAAGGTGTATTTATTACCAATAGCCCTCTCTTATAGCCACCCAAAAGGGAAAGCATTCCCAGTTCACAGAGTAGTAAACTGAGGCTCAGCAATAGGTTTCTCAACCCTGCTGCCAAAGAAATAGGACTAGCAGCCTTAGCATTCAGGAAGCCTGGGATGTAGAAAGCAGCAGCAACCGGACTGCTCCCCTATACCTGGATCCCGCTCCAGTACACAGAAACTGCAGCCATGGGTCCACCCCTAGCAACAGGTCCTTCCCTGGTAACATAGAACCGCTATGCCTGTGAGACTGAAGTCAGAGTCCCATCCCTAGCAACAAGACCTGCCCTTCCAGAAACCAGTTAAGATTCTTAGTCTTAGAGGCCAGCCTGGCTAAATGGCTGACTCGAGATGGTGCCCTGCATGGGTTCCACACATGGGCCCAGGATGCCTTCCATGCCAGTCTGATCCTACTCTGGGGCTTCTTCTTGGCTCCCCTTCCTGTCCTCCCACCCATTTCACCCCCTTTCCCTACTTCTCACATCCCATACTCCCTCTGCTCTAACCTGCTGGGCATCCTGCCCCACAAATTCTCCAAGCACCATTCCCTTCTTATCACATTTGTACAGGTTTGCCTGAAAGTACCCCACAGACCCCTACTTGGGTACACCTGAGCTATTCTGACTGGCAGAACTCGCTGGGCTCCTCCATGATAGTTTTCTCTCTCAGGCTGGTTCTCAGTACTCAGCACAATGGCCAGTGCATTGTCCAGCAAACAACGGGACAAGGAAATGAGTCACTTGCCCCTGCCTCTGCCTAAAATTCTCCACGACTTCCCAGCTCTCAGCCGCCTTAGAGTGACACTGAGTACCTGCTTTCATGGGGTCCTTTCCTCCTACTGGCCCACTTCTCACCTACTGAGTAACTGCGCAAGAGTCTAGTCACTCGTCCCACCTACCCTGCCTGAAAAGACCTGTGGGCCTTGCTGACCTGTGGGAACTCTCAGGAGGTACCCAAGACTGGATCATCCATCAGAGAACCCCACCTGTATGGGCCTGATCCTGATGGCAAAAACCCTCACCATCTGGCTGGTCCTGGACCCAAGCACACCTGCTGGTGCTGGCTCTCCCCTGCCCACTCACCTTTGGCAGCCTCAGTTCGCTTGGGCAAGTCCAGCGTGTCAAAGTTCCGGTCCATCTCATTATCCTTCTTGCCTGGAATGGAAGGGTGGTGGGAGGTGAGGTGGATTCCACAGGAAGCAAGAATATACGGAAGGAAAGGGGTTAGACACAGCCCTCTCCTGCCCAGAGCCCAAATAGCATCTTTGTGACAGCCTTGGGCACCAGAAGGCCCTAGGAATAAAGCATCATTCTCAGAGTTCAGACAGGCAAACTGCCAGGATAGGGTAGTGGTGCAGTGGGACCTGGGGGCATCTTGGCCCTGTCCTGAGTAACTGGGGCACATCTTTCATCAGGTGCTGGGAGCTATAACACACACCCTGCATCTCCTAAGTGTCTGTCAGGTCTATAAAGTGAGAAAAACCAGAAACATAAGCTGAGTGGTAGGTAGAAGCAGACTCGAGTTGACAGGGACAGGACTTACTGAGGTCTCACAGCAAGGCAAGGCTGGGACTAAGAGTCTAATACAAAGGGAAACTTGCCTCTGAGGCAGAAAAAACCCCATATCCAGGCCAAGTCACTAAAGTAGTTCCACAAAACACTTGCATTCCTCCACAACAGTAAGCAGTCTCCAGCCACCACCCACATCTCAGCTGAGGGTAACTCTGTAAGACTGGCAAGGGGGGGGGGTAAGATGACCTCGGCCCCTGCCCTGCCCATCCTCATTGGACCTTTATGTATCCTCGTATCTAAGGATATACCACCCCTTCCACCAGAGTAACCCCTTTCACCTGCTGCTGTTCTGGGTATGAACATACCCTAGGTCCTGCCCACTATGTGCTGCTGCTATATAGGAAGACTAGGAAGCTAAGTCTGGGTACAGGAGGCAGCTCTGCAGCCACCCCAGCAGCCCAGGGCGCACATTCTTGTATTTGTCAGGTCCCCAGTTGTCATGGAGATGGCCTTCTAATGGGGCTGGGGGTGGGGCAGTGCCTTGAGGCTGGAAGGCATCCCAGGAGCCCACTACACCAGCTGTGCTGCAGTTGTCATGGAAATAACTGCCTAAGTAATTAGGGACAGACATCTCCCTGGTACCCACTGCACCTGCTAGTCCTGGACAGCAGGACAAACAGGGACTCACCTTGATGGAACCACTCCTCTGGACAGCCGAAGGAAGCACAAGAGAGAGGAGATGAACCTGAGCAGGTGCACCCTCCCCATGCTCTTATGTTCCCACTGCATGCCCTGGGTCAAGCAGGTGGGATGTGGAAATGACCTTAAACATTCTAGGGCTGAGTTACCACCCACAGGACAGGGAAGGAGAGGATGGGCTCAGAAGAACAGGTGAAGGAGGTGGTCAGGTTCCACCAGTGCTGGGGGGACGGAAGTTGCTCAATCCTGCACCCTGCAGATACCAAAGGGATGGTGTGCAGCAAGGGCCTCACCCAGGTACAAATGGGACTTATCAGGGCCTGCAAGCTCTGGGTCACCTGTGGCACTTTCCACACTCACAGGCCCACAGAGCACTTCCCCAAAATTCAGGGACAGAGTCTAGCAGGGTCACGTGGACACCCTGTGGGGGCCACCATTATAGAGGGGAAAGCTGAGCTTGGGTCTAAACACTAACCCACTGACAGTGTGACCCAGTGTGACCTGGCAACACACCATTCTTAGCTCAGTTTCCTGACTTGCCCCTTGGGAGATGACCAGATGTCCTCTGTGTTCATCCGCCATAGACATAGGGAGACTTTTGCATGGGGTGGGTGTCTTGAGGAGTATCCCCAGTATAACCCACCCACCTTTGGCCTTCTTGCCACCAAAGCAGCTGGCGTCATCCCTCCTCCGGCGCTGGGAGCCTGCTGCACTGCCTGGGGGCCCAGGCTCGGCCTCCTGGTACCTGTCAGCATCAGGCACCTCCTTGTGCACATGGTAGGACAGGTTCCGCATGATGCACACGCAGTTCTCCACTGACTGTGGGGAGAGGTGACCTGGTGGAGCAGGGTCATGGGGCATGGGGGCTACTGACCATCCCAGGACCCTATGCATGAAGCCAGACCTCAGGAAAGACTGGCCACTGCCAGAGGGCACCAAGCATACCAAGAGAGGAAGGTCTGAGCTGGGGATCCACATAGGACGTAACTGCCAGGGAGGGACCCCACCCCTCATGTAGCTCTATTGGGTAGCCAATACACTGTGGGATATGCCCACATCCACATTCCCATTACCCGGAACCACCCCAGATGGTTCTGGACTTGGTTTCTATTCCTGTACTGTCCCTCAGTGAGAAGCTGTGAGTCAGTGCCCACCTTATTATCTGTGTCCTTCCTGCCCACGGCCGACTGCAGAGCATGCAGGAGAGCATCCACCAGACCCTCACACTCGCGGAGTCGCCGCCGGGCCTCAGCACCATCGGAACTCACATTCCTGGTGGCCAAGAGCAGGCCTAGTGACCCCTGGTCCCCATGCTAAGTTCCCCAGCACCACATGTTTGGCCTTGGGCTTGTTTTCTCCTGCACAGTGGGCCCTGCTGCTGTCACAGTGAGGCTACTGGGACAGAATACCACAGCCTAGACACAGTGAAGGTGGAGCAGGTGGAGCCTAGACCATCCCTAAACCCCCGACAAACTGGAAAGGAACAGAGGTGGACCCAAGAGGCCTGAGTCTATGCATAGGCAATTCTGCCCACCTTCACCTCAGTGGCAGTTCTGGGCCCCAACTTGCCCTGAGGTCAGGATCCTACAGCGTCACAGAAAAATGAACTGATAGGCAGGACCATAGGGTTGCAGGACTCTGACTATGAGACCTCTACAGGACCACCAAGGATTAGAGGGGGCAAGCAGAGGCTACAAAGTATACAGATAGAGGGTGGAGGGTCTCAGAGGCAGACTGGAGATGAGAGGTTTGCTTCCTTCTCTGGCTGTCATGGTGCCAGGAGAGTAGAAAGGGCTGGATTGGTCAAGCACTGCAGCAAAGGTGGGAGCCCTTGGGAGGGTTCCCTTGGGGTGAGGAAAGTCCCATCAAGCCCATTTCCCACAGGACTTGTGATGTGGCTCTGAAGCTCCTAAGATTCAGGTAGCTCACTGTGTTATGTGACATCTTGAACCCTGGGGACATGGCATCCCCAAGGATGAGGCCAAGTATGCACACTGGCTTTGGTATTCCCTCCTGCATCCTTGAGCAGTAGAGCACCCAGACAAACTGGGGGTAACGAGCCTAAGAGTGGCTGCTGTCCACACCTCAAGCAGCCTGATGTGTTCTTGAAAACAGTCGTCCACTCAGCATCCCGAGGTTTGAAGTCCTCATTAGGTTCCCGCTCCCAGCCCGAGTGGGGCACGATGACCTCGTGTGTCAGTGTCTGCAGGCCATGGTCAATAATGACCATCTTCAGGGGTTCATATGACGACAGGTTCCACAGTGTGCCTGTGAGGTATCACCAAGCACCACACTGATCATTGTCCTGTTCACTTCCCACCTCGTGCCCCAGCCCACACAGAAAGTTAGTACAGCTCTGTTACCACTGCTTATTTGTGGTGCGGGGGAGTGAACCTAGGGCCTAGGCACCTGCTAGGCAAGTGCTCTACCACCGAACTATGGCCCTGGCCCACATAGGCAGCTAGCAAAGTAACAAAAGCTGGGCAGGAAGGGGTGAGGTATACAGGAGAACATAGCACCTACTCTTCTTCCTACCCATTCTCTGTTTCTTTAGTGGATAGGACTAATACCCCAGCGACCCCTGCGTGTCCTTCAGGTTCTACAAAGCGTAAGTCCTAACTGCTGCACTGTCATGAGGTGGGAACCAAGGAGGGGAGAATTATAGGGACAAGTGGGGAGGGGACCTGTCTGATGGGCCCAGTGCCACTCCCCATGGAAGAAAGACCTGTCGTAGCATTTGGGCCTAATGCCTGCACCCAGGACAAGGTGTTCCAGCAGCAGGGACTTCTGACCAGCTGAGTGCTACCCACCCTTGTGGCCTCACTGCTCTCAGGCTGAGCCTTGCTGTCCTTCCTCTTTTCCTAGGGAAGAGTAAGCACAGCCAGTCTCACTCACCAGTGACTAGCTCACGGACCTCGTTGTCACGGGCAGCCCGCAGCAAGCGCACCAGGGCAGGCACACCACCACAGTCTCGGATGGCAGCCTTGTTGTCAGTGTCACGGCCATAGGAGAGGTTGCGCAAGGCCCCACAGGCCCTACGCCGCACCTCAGCCCGAGGGTGGTCCAGCAGTGCTACCAGGAGCGGCAGCCCACGCAGCTGCCGCACACGCCGTTTCACACCCTCATTCTCGAAACACAGATGCTGTAGGTAAGCAGCTGCATTGGCCTTCACAGGGTCCACAGGATGCCGCAGCATGGCCAGCACCTCTGGCAGCTCAGGGTCCCTCCAGCGTGGTTCCTTGCGGGTGCTATCCACTGAAGGCGAACGCCGAACCACCCGGTCCAGGCTGCCCAGGCTGCCCCGTTCGGGCTGGGCCAGGGGTGCTGTTGTTGCTGGAAATGGGGGTCTCTCATCAGTCAGCTCACCAGCATCATCTGCTGTGTCTTCGTAGGTCCTGTGCAGGCAAGCAGGGTATGTGAACACTTTCACAGCAGCCACCAGCCCTGCCCTGCGAGCTACACATTACACTTCCCAGAATATTATGAATCCCAGAGCAGGACTGAGAGGAAAACATCTATGTCTCAGCCCAGAACATAGCCTGGGCACTGAGAGTCACAGTCTCAGTCCAGCAAGAAATGACTCAGACCCGGGTCCTAGACAATAGTCATCAAGACTTACATCCTTCCCAGAATGGGGAACTCACTAACTCCTGTCACGAGGAGCTAAATGTCTTTCCATGTAACATCCATCCATGATGGGACAGGGTAGAGGTTCCAACTCTCTTCCATAAAGTTATCTGGCTGGTAACCGATGTGAGGTGAGTTGTGACCATCCCTGTATATGACTATTCCAGTAGGATCATGTGATGGACAGCTAAACCACCAGTCCTACAGAGTACAAGATGTCCTTGGCTCTTATGGATTAAAATCACTAAACCCCTTCCCCAGCAAAGGAATGAGACTAGAAGGGTTAGGTAATTTGCCCAAAGCCACACAGAAATCTAGACCCAATTTGTGGTACTGTCCTTATGTTGCACAAAGGATTCTGATTCTTCAGAGTCTTTGACAAAGGGACTAGATTTCTAGGTTATGGATACTATTGCACATAGGAGAGAATGAGCACCAGACAGAGGCTGGGGCCTGAAGCTCAGAGAACACCCCAAGTCTCCTATGCTCAGATCTTGATAGCTATCTGGCTGGAGCAAAGCAAGTATCAGGCACTGTCACCAATGTCTCTTCCATTCAGCTTGACTGCTACCATCTGAGGGCCTGTCTTTACCACTGTCCTGAAGAAAAGCTGAGGTTAATTCAAACTGAAGTATGCATGACCAATTCAGTCCCAGCAGCTTGGTACTCTGGGCTAGGGAATGGAAGACAGACTTCCCAGAAGTGGAACAGAGTGCTCACCTGGCACGGAGACCCCGCCCACAGTCAGGTCTCCTCCGTGTAGCTGTGGCATAATCGGGCTCCAGCTCAGGGCCACCCTCGTCATCAGCAGCCAGGCTGCGTGTGTCATCCTCCAAGCCATAGGGCTCTGCCTGGAAACGCTCAGGCAGAGAGCGGCCACCCTGTGGCCCAGGCTCAGGACCCACAGGGAAGGCTTCCCGGCGACCAGGCAATGTAAAACACCCATCACCAGGTCCAGAGCCAAGGGGGCCAGTGCGTGGGGGTCGCACTCCAAGCCCTCGGGATAGGCTGCCATAGTTAGGGCCATCACGAGGCTCAGGGCCATTGGGAAAGCCACCCCCACTGTTGAGGTAGGCTCGGGAAAGTGTGGCTACTGGGCCACCACCACGTAGCAGGAAATGCCGGTCCAGGGGGCTATCAGAAAAAGGGCTAAATGGGGGGCCACCATCCAACAGAGAGAGTCCATCTGGGCCCAAAGGCACCTGGCGTACTGTCCTCGTGGTCACTGTCTTGACTGTCTTGGTGACCTGGTGGATAGGCAGATGGTAGGTAGGCTAGGCAGCCCAAGAGGTCTGGACAGAACCAGGGTGACCTCCATTTCTACCCAAACAAAAGGCAGCCCCAGAGGCTGGTCCACATACCCGTTCTGCAGAGGGACAGCTGTGGCTGCCTCCCTGCATGCCTGCCACCTGGGCCTGTCCATACCTTAGTCTCTGTGCGCCGGGTTGTGCCATCTTCAGATGTGACAATGGACACATGGGAAGTGGGTGTGCCAGGGTCCTCTTCCACAGTCACTGTCTCCTCGAGCACCTCAGGTGCCTCTGGCATCGTGGCTAGTGATGCCTGGCTGCCTGGGCTCTGCTCCTAGAAGTAGAGAGGAAGGTGTTGGGGCAGGACCTGCAGCTGTTATGTCCCTGAAATCCAAGTACCTGTACATGGCAGGCTCTGCATTAGTTCATACCATCTAGGATGGGGGGGGGCCACCATCCAGCAGAATGAGTCCATCTGGACCCAAAGGCACCTGGCGTACTGTCCTCGTGGTCACTGTCTTGACTGTCTTGGTGACCTTCCCACCCCTGTCCCAGGGCCTCCTTGGGCTGGGTTTGGCAGATAAACATAGGATGGCCTCCTCTGAACTCACTGTTTCAGATTCCTCTAAGCCCAAGGAGGAACCAACAGGCACCCACAGGATGTCCTCCCAATGTCTACTTCCTACTAGGGCCTCCTCCCTGCTCTATCCCAGAAACCTGCAATGCACAAATGATCAAAAAGCAGTTTCAGTACTGCTCACTGACTTTTGTGGCCACACTCATGCTCCTGCCATTAAGGTCAGTCAGGCCCCCATGCAGGACAGAAATATCCAGCTCCCAAGATGCACTGTGTACCCAGAGCACCAAAATATCTTTGTTCCTTCCGGCCTGTACAATCTTGGGGCATGGCGTAGGCATGGTCTGTCCCTACTTCAGACCAGAGGCCAGCACTCCCTGATGGAGATCCTGAATGTCATATCAAGGACTAGAGATAATACATTCAGGCTATAGTCACACTGCCATCCTCCTGCAAAGGGTAGGGGTGATAGAGGAACTATATGCAGGACAGTTCTTGAATGAGGCCCTCATAAGGTCCACATGCCCACTGGCTAGACTTCCCAGTGAAGAAATGGAGGCTTAAAGAAGACAAGCCAGTCCCTGCTATACTGAGTAGCAAGGGGAGACCCAAGAGCCACAGTCTGTCCCTGGGCCTCTGCCTATTCAGGTCCCCTAACCCCAGGGCCCCACCACGTCAATAGTATAGGATTAGCATCTGCCAGGACTGGCAGGGGCTGAAACCCAAGCTGTGGTGGGTGGATGTGGGGAGGGAGCACATTCCTGGGCAGCTAAGACCAGGTCAGCAGGAAGGCATACCCAATCTGTTGCCCAGGTCCTGAGCCCTTTCAGGATGGGTCTCCTGTCTGGGCCCTGAAGGTTGGCAGTTCACACTTCAACTTGAATCCAGAGTCCTTTTCTAGACTTGGAAGGTGTGCCACACAAGGTCCCTGGGACTACCCTCACAGTCTGCTTTTAGAGATTTTTACATCAGGATGCTCCCTCAGGCAAATTTTGTCCTGGAGGAATGCCTGACCCTCAGAGAATCACTGTAGGGGTTTGGGTGGAGGCTGAACCAACATGTTAGGACAGGTACATCCCTCAGGCTCTGGCGACAGAGAAAGTAGAGACAAAAAAATGTGTCTTCCTCCCTCCAAGCAAGGCCTTAGAGAACAAGAAATGACTTTATGGATAGAGAAACTGAAGCTGGCAGAGGGGAACTTCACAACTGCCAGGTGGGAGATTTTAGGTACTTGTGTGACCAAGGAGCCTTTGCATCTCACCTCATGCCTTAGGGACAGGGCCTTGACAACCACCATCCTGGTCCTAGAATGGGAAGGAATGCACTTCTGGGACTTAGCCAGGAAGAGGAGACCCTGTTTCCTGAGAAAGAGAAATATACTGAGGCCCAGAGTGGGGACAACTGGCAGGCTGCCAGGCAGGGTGACTTGGGCTCTTCTCCAAGGGTACTAAGAAGTCAAGACAGCTCCAGAATAGGAGTAAACAAGGGGTAAGTGACCTGCTGGGACTTGGGTTGCTTCATCTGTATTTGGCAACTGCACATCAGGCCTCAGCCCTCTCTGATGAGTCCTGGGGTCTAATCAGGACTCCAACATGGTGGATCAGGCACTGAAAGATTGCATTCCTGGCCGTGGAGTAGGGAGAAGCGTAAGACTGAAGCGATGGGTTGCCTAGGACACTCTGCCAGTGGGCCAGGGGCCCTTCGTAGATTTGCATATCTTTGCATACATTAAATACTCAGCAAAGAGCCCTCTTCTCTATGGTGAGGCAGTAGGACAAATGGAAAGAGGAAAGACATTATGATACCTCACTGCCAGTCTGCAGCCCAGCTTCTTCCTCTCACCCTGGCTGTAGTAAGGGTCTGACACAGGAACAGAGTTGGGGCGGTCCAGGAGAACCAGGGATCCCCAGTCAAATTTTAGAAACCCTGAAACATCATCTACTAACACTCAAGCCCAAAGCTGGGCAGCGGGATCCCAAAGCCCTAAGAGTCCCTGCTGGCAAATGACCTCAGGGAGCTAAAAATGGGCAATGACTTCACCCAGGGGGAGGGAGAGTCATCCGGTGCTCTCAAGAAAGCCCAGGCTTGTTACACATGCCATGGCACACATACAGGTACTAGGATCTAGACACATTCAAACACACATGTATCTGATCCCTTAGAAACACACCCATATTTACTAGTTTATGCACACCCAGCCTGGCACACAGGCCCACATAAAGGAATATGGGTCTCCTAACACCACGTCCAGTGTACAACACCTACTGCTCCAAGAAGCATGTATCTGAGTACCTGTTTCTTTTGTCTTCACCCACTGTGGAGACCCTTATCCATGCAAGTCTTTGACATGTACTCTCAATATGCAAGGATGGAGTACCAGTTAGCTCAATCATCCACACAAACATCCACTATTGGGCGTCCCAGAGCTAGTGGCAAATAGGTAAACTGAGGCCTATTCTAGACAATAATCAACTGGTGGCTCAGGCTCTGTAACAGCTTCCTAGGTGTGGGGGTTCATGAGATAGTAAGCTATTAACCACCACACAATCAGAAGTCAGCAGAAGGTACCAGCTGGGATGTCTTTTTCTAGGCTCCCCATCTCACATCCATCTGTCTAGGCCAGTTCATTCTCAAGGATCCTGGCTATGCAGCCCCACATCAGTACTGCTCAAGATCTGACTTTGGACTATTTCCTCTTTACCCTGTTAGGTCCTGGACACAGCACCCCAGCCCTCCCTTACCACACTGTGCTGGCTAACCATCTACCAACACTCCTCCCTATTCCTATCCTTATCCTTTTCCCTTTCAGGCACTATGCTCAGTCTCTACTCTTGAGCACACCCTGAGACCCTGGATCCTGCCAGACACCTGGAGCTCTTCCTCCTACAGACACTGAAAGGGCCCAGGTGGCCAGGTCCACTTATGCAACCAGATCTAAGGAACATGGGAAGCAGAAAAACAAGATCATGGAGCAAAGCACAAAGGACTGTGCACTTCACAGATTAGCATCCAGCTTGTGCAAGGGCCCCTGCATATGCAAGCCACACGTTAAAGCAAGGCTACATATTCGGAGCCCACACTTTCTGGGGCAGGCCCTCAGAAGCCTTAGAATGGCCACTACTGGATGGATAAAGGAATGGAGGAGTAACAGTTCTAACTTCCTCAACCCTAAGGTAGAGTGCAGGATGAGTCAGGTTAGCATCTCCTGCCAGGCAGCAAGACCTTGGCCACCACAAAACACCTTCCCTTCTGTGGTGCTCACAGCCTCTGCCCAGTCCTTAGGAACCTGGAGCTCACTCTCCAGGGTTCCTGCCAAGGGTTGTGCACCCTGAGGTGGTCCCTTGCAGAGTGGCTGGAAGGCCAAGGAGCATCTTGTGCCCAGAAGGTAGGAACAGCAGGCTTGGGAAGCAAGCTGTCACCTACTTCAGCTTCCCTAAACCTAATCACATTGTGATCATAAATCCTTCTCCATGAGTAGCTTCATCTTTGGGGCAGTCAGACTTACAGGCCATACTAGAGAGCAGCAAAACAGGGTCCTGGGGAACTAGGTAGGCAGGTGTGAGAATTCACGCCCACCACAAGGGGTCTTTTGAGTGCCTACCCTCCATTAAGCCTCAGATTTCCTGATTATTACTGAACCCCGCCTCCTCTGAGTAGAGTACAGACAGGGAGGCCAACAGCCCAGTTTTGCACAGAGACCCCTCCTGCCTCTACACGTGGGCAGGGCCAGCCTCCACCTCCTCCCTTCCCGTGCGCTGCCGCCGCGACAGATAGGGCCCATTAAAGATCCAGAAGCTCCTAGGAAGGTCCCAAGAATGGGAACCCGCAAAGGAGGTGAGGAGGAGGGGAGGCAATGAAGCTCTCTCAAGGAGCAGGAGGCCTAAATCAGTCTTCTCTCTCCAGATTCAGCCTGTCTGTACAGAGAGGCGGTTCGGAAAGGCACCCCACACCCGGGTTTCCCGCCACCTGTCCTGGGCGCTGGCCGAGGTATATCCACCACCCCACCCCCCAGCTCCTTTCTGGCTCTTTCCAAGTGCACGGGGGCCTCCTCGGCCCCAGCGCCTAGGCTCCAAAGACCCGCGGCCCCGCCCCGTCTTACATACCCCTGGTCGGCGTGCTCACTCCCGCCACCCCGCCGGGGTCCGGCTGCCAGACCCTGGAGAGCAGACAATAGCTGCCTTGGGTCGGCCTCTCCATGGAACAAAAGCGGGTCTTCGCGGGAAAGGCCGCGCCCCCCACCCCCGGCGTCCCCTGCCCCCAACCAAGTTCCCCCCAACCTGTCTGAGTTCGGCTGGCATCTGGCCGCGGGTCTGGGGGCGCAAGCCGGCGGGGTGCGTCGGCGTAGGGAAGGGGCTCCAATGCCTCAGTCGCCCGAGCTCGGCGGTCTTGCTCCCCACGGGGGCGAACACGGCAGCGGCCAGGCGAGCAGCCAATCGGGCGGGGCCGCGCCCAGGCGGACTGGGCGGGGCACGGTCCTGCCCCCAACGCCGGCGGGGGCGGGGTCCTGCCCCCCACCACCGCGCCGGCCGGGGCGGGGCTCAGCAGCCTAGCAGACTCCCGTCTCCAGGGTTCCGGGCAGAGGTCTGGCTCCTCCCCCAAGCAGTGACATCTTCCAGCCCAATGACTTTAATCCTTCCCAGGCGTCGGGTACCCTCAGTAAATAAGCACACATGCCGCTCTGCCTGTAGAGTTGGGGAAACTGAGTTCCTAAAAAGCAGAGAGCAGCTGGGGAAGCCACTTTCACTGGCACAAGCCACTCATCCTGTGACTCAGTTTCCCTTGGCTGATGAGACAGTAGTTATGGCACTGTCAGCACTGCAAGGTTTCTTAAGGCCTCTAGGCTCTGCCTGGCCTCCACTCCACATGAGCCTCCGCAGAGTTTAATGAGGACCTAGTGAATAGCTGTTGGAAGACTCAATTTCGTTTGTTTTCCCCTGACAAGACACAGAAGCCCGGTGTCAGACTGGGTCAACCCAGACAGGAGACAATTCTTGAGTGACCCTGGGTAAGATACTTAATCTTTCTGGTTTTGTACCTCAATAAAGTCCTGGGGACTAAGCCTGCTTTAGACCCTCTCTTCTATGCATTTGATCTCCTCAGAAGTGGCTGGCAGGCAGGAGGGTGGATCACAGATGCCAATAATGAAGGGCTTCTCCTACCAAGGTGTACCCCACCCAACCCCCAATCCCTCAGTGGCCACACCTGGAGAGTCTGACACTGCTGGCGGGGTATGGGTATAGTGGATTGGGGGAAGGACAGGTTGGAGATACCTTCCTGGGTCATTCCCCATAAAGGTATCCTAATGCCAGCCATAATGGCTCATGCAGGTAATCCCAGCACTAGGCAGCTGAAGCAGGAGGATCATTGTGAGTTTGAGGCCAGCCTGAGCTACGTATTGAGTTGAAGGCTATGAATTACTTAGTGAAACCCTGTCTCAAAAAAAAAGAATTCCATAAGGGTAAACCAATGGTTCAAGCATCATGAATAATGAAAACAGTTCTGAGATACACAGAGTTAGTCCTGGGAAGACAGTGGGTCCAGTAAGAAGGGCACTAGCCTGCCTCTCTCCCTGATTCCACTTGAAAAAAGTGACCCTGCCCTAAAGTCGCATTCTACTTCCATGGTATACCCTGCACAGAAGACACACAGCCTCAAGAACTCTGGGTGTCCATGTTACTAAGTTTTTGTTGGATAGTTGAACAGAACTGTTTGCAGTCTTGCTGTTTGAATTCCCACTTTATATGTTCCACTTTTGTATCTTGATCAACTATTTGTAAAAGGACAGTATGTAAACACTAGTGATTTCTTACTATTTTTTTCTCTGAACATATGTACTATTTCTACCCATTTTGTTTTGTTTAGTCTTTCTTTAAATAAAATTTAAAAAAAAAGAACTCTGGGTGTCCACTATATGCATTTCTGAGCCTCAGTTACACCACCTGCTCAAGAACTCCAGGTGCCCACTATATGTACTTCTGAGCCTCAGTTACATCAGCCCTGCATGGACCCACACAGGCCAGGGAGTAGGAGAATACACTACTCTTAGAGAATATGACCTTATAACTTTACCTTAAAGCTGGTTCTGTCTTCCCAATTTCACCAACTACTAGTGTCCCTACAACATACTCAACTAAGGTGGGGAGGCCCTACAGGCATCCTCCTCCACTAGCAGAGGGTCAGCTCTACTCCTGGTGCATGTTTGCGGAAGGAAGGAAAGGGAACAAGATCCTGGGCACGTGGCATGGCAACCATCATGGGCTTTAGGACTCCCCAGTCCTGACCCCCAGCTACCTACCTTGTCACTGCTCCCAAGCTCTCAGACCCTACCTCTGACCTGTGGCTCAGACATAGGTCACTGCTGAGATTAATCTCGGAATCATGTTTGGCCTTGACGCAGCTGAACCTGGGCAGCTGGTGCCTCTTCCAGCATCCCAACCTAGCTAGTCCAGCTATCACTCTGGGAACATATACTCTCTCTGATTCCAGCCTGAGAAAATCAAGGGCAAGGAGGTGTGGTGGCCCGATGCCATACAGGACTCAACCCCTAGAAGACAAGGGCAGCCCCAGAATGTGGGAACGTCTTCCTGCTAGGGCACTGACCCTCCAGTGTCCTCTGTCTTTCCACACTTCTCTGTGGGCTGGGTAGTACAGCTGGTTCCGGCCTGGGAGGGCTGAACTGCGGGCCTGGAACCCGAGGGCAGCCTTAGGGTCATTGTCTCCATGTAACTCAACTGGGCTGTTCTACTTCCCCTCTAGAGCTTAGGGTATAAGCCTCACCCTTTGGAATATTTAAGGTCTGGGATTTGCAGAGATGGTCTTTGCACCTACACCTACCTCCCTCAGTCCCAGGCTCCTGTGGCTCACTATGTTGCCTGCTTGAAACCACTAAGTACCAGATGCTGGGAAAAAAGGGGATCTGAGGACTTTCAGAGACATTAATTTGGTTGTAACTGGGCACTTGTGATTCTGTGTGAGGGACTTCAAGTGGATTTAGGAATAATACCTGCCCAGTGTTAGAAGAAAATAGCTTGGGGAACAGTCACTTGTTCCAGGTCCTGGGAAACAATCAAGGGCAACTTGTTTGTGAGCTCCATATGCCCTGGCTTGGCAAGGCTATTCCACTGGGACAGCTTCAGCAGAGATCAGCACTTTGCTCCCTTTGTCTCCAGCACAGGCCAGGCCAAACTACTGGCACATGTGTTGGGGGTATGGTTCCTCGGGGCCCAGCAGGACCAGAGAAGATGGGCATGTGGCAGGTGCTAGCGATATGTGGAAGTGGGGTGTGACTGTCTAGTTTAGGAGTTTAGGGAGCCAAGGATCCCAGTGGGCACCACTTACAGGATCACTTTATTAAGAGAAAAGAGAACAAAGCAGGCCAAGTCAAAGCTGGAAAAGGAGGGGGCTCCTCTTCCACTAATTGCTGGCAGAACTCAACTTAGAGCAGAACCTATTGCTTTGCTTACGACTTCCTTTGGGGCTGATCTACACACAATGAAGGAGAATACAGTGGCAGGGAGATCCCAGGATAGTGAAAATCCTCAATGTCTCCAAACTGTTTAAGGACCTGCCCAGAGTAGACACTCTCCAGCAGCCTGTGTCCTGATGGCTCACTCAGTAGGGGACGCTGGCCTAAGGGTCAGGCTCTATCCTACCTGTTATTCATACAGTGTCCAACATACCCAAGTGAAACTCTACCCACTAGATATCCCACTTTTCTTTCCTTCCCAGAAGCCTCAGCAGGTCTTACAACAAGCCATTGCAAGCTGGCTTGTGGTCTACCCAGGACCCCTTGATTGTTTCCCTAGTTGGATATTTTCACTCTCCCCAGTACACTGGGCTATTACCTGCAAAACTAGTTGTTGCCAGGCCATTGGCAGGGCCTGCCCACTGCCCATACCACTACTGCCCATGGCAGGCTGCTGGGCACGTTCTAGCTGCAAGGCAACGTGGCGCCGTTCCTGCTCCAGTGCCCGGGTCAGCCGCTCGAAGCGGGCTTCCTGCTCCTTCACTGAGGCCAGAATGCTGGCTGCCGAGTGCACGTTGCAGTCCTCCATGGCCAGGGCGCCGGCCAGCTGCAGGCAAAGAAGAGCATGCTTAAGAGGGAGCAGAGCAGCAGCTGGTGAGGACATCACAGGACCCATGCCCACTCACAGATCATACAACCCCCCAGAATAGAGCATCTAGCTCTCTGGAGGGAAGCTGCATTGATTAAATTCTAAATTAAAAGCCATTAATCTGAAGCTGGCCGGAAGCAGCCAGCTCTCTCTTCCTATGAGGCATAGGGCTCTGGCCCAGGGTCCTCCATTTCCTGTCAGGCCCAATACAATGTGGACTGTAGGTGTCTCAGCACCTACTGGGACTGATCTACTACAAAAAGGCCTCACTATTTTCTAAGTCCTCTGCTGCCTACAGCACATGTTGGATCATTTCAATCTCATGGGGCCTCCCAGCACCATCACAGAGGTGGCACTGAGATCTAGATAGGGCAAGGGACCAGCTGCAGCCACATAGGAGGTATGGCAGAACTGGTGTAGCCAGCAGGCAGAGAATGAGTGAGAAACTTCCCTACTGCCATCAAATACAAAGTGATCTAGGCTGTGGCAGGTATAGAATGATCATTGCCTTGGCACTACCAGCAATACTGGCCTGAGGACAAAGAGTCTAGCCACCACTAAGCCACTCCAGCATGGTTTCACATGCCAACTGACAACCAAGTCAAAGCCTGGTTGGGGTTCTGACTGGGACCACATAAAGTTTAGAGCCCCTGTGTTCATAAGTGGCTCATATATGAAACCTGAGCCAGAAGAGGGCAGGAGCCTAAGAAACTGGGGCCCAGCACTCAGCAAGGATCAGGCCTGCCCAGGCCCTGGCCCCGTGCTGCCCCTTTGGGTACCAGAGTTCCAGGGCATGGCATCAGCAGCAACGAGCCAGTGCTTTTCCTCCACAGCTTATTTCCTGACTAGCCAGTGTGTTTGTTTTTCAGGGGCAACAAGAAGCAGGCCAAGTATGCAGAGCCCAGCTGGAGGTTCACAATCATGGATGGGTACGGCCCTGCAGTCCCAATGTTCAGGGATTGGTGTATGGCTCAATGCCCAGTGCTGTTTGAGGCTTGCTCCTGGCTGGACCCATGCCAGCTCACTGAGGCCAACACTTTGGTGCTGGATCCTACACCCCTGCACCAATACACAGCCTGAGCTTAAGGAGGGGAGGCTCCTCCATAGGGATGTCACATGCAGTGAGTGCTACCCACAGAGACCCACTCTATTCACTGGCCTTGATAAAGCCTAGTACAAGGATGGACAGAACCCCAGAGAGAGAGGAAGGGCCACTACTGGGCTTGGCCAGACCAGTGCTTGCTAGGCTAGAAACATGGTGCACCTCAGAGGTGAAGGGACATCATGGGGCCAACCCCACCATGACAACTTGGAGAAACTAAGGGCCAATGAGGGCAAGAGACCAATGTAGGCCTTAACAGATGCTTTTCATTTTCCTTGTACCTGTGACACAAATAAAACTCTTAATATGACTCTTCAGGGATTCCAGTGTGGGAAAAGGAGCTGTTAGGACAAAATGAAAAAAACTGTAGTCAGAGATGGTAACCACCACTGGGCTGCGGAGTAAGGTGGAGACTGGGTCCTGTGGACACCATGGCATATAGGGACAACTAGCACAGCATGGTCACTGGGGCCTCCTGTGTATAACTGTCAGCTCAGGGGGCGGGGGTGCAAAAAAAAAAAAAATAAATAACTGTCAGCTCATAGGCCCGGCCTGGGCACACCCAGTAGGCCCTATGTCTGTATAGGCTAGGACTGGTATTGGTCCCCGAACGAATATGGTAAGATCTTCCTTTTTGGGAGAGCCAGAGTCTATGGCAGGAACCAGGTCACCTGAACCATCAGCAGAGTCTTGTTTGCAGAGTTGGCCCATCTCAACTGAGACTGAGAACCCAAAGGCAGAAGGGACTAGGACACTGCCCCTCAGTGGAAATGAGGACCCATAAGACAACTGTTGGCCTTGTGGACAAGGTGTAGCTTCCTTTCTTTCTTGTGCAGAGATACAGAATTTTGCCTGAGCTCTGGTTCTATCCTACTGTACCAGCCCCATCTAGCAGGAGCAGGTCTGAGCTACAGACAGCCCTCAGCGCCCTGTCCCCCTAAGCCAAGCATGCCGTTGGTTCTGAGGTCCAAAGAGGCCCTGGCTGAAGGGGGCCTGCTGGCTTTAGTTGGAGGCTGGCTGGGAGCCCAGAATTCTGAGGCCACAGTGAGGAGGTGGCCAAACACCACACTGGCTTTCCCACTGCCCAATTCAGTTCACTTAGTAAGAAATGACTGTGTGTCTCCCGGGTAACATCATTCTGGCCAGAATGGCAACACCCACAAGACAACAGAGACCAGAGTGCTGGGCCCCTGCTGTCTGCTCTGGTCCCAGTGCACTCTCTATCTACCCCAGGGTATGCTCTGAGCCCTAAAGACTGTAAGCATTCAGGTAGAGCAGGGGACACCCAGTACCTGAAATATGCTGGCTCCAAGTCTATACACAGGAACATATGTGGATACAGGTGACCCAGGCCCAGCACCCCAAAAGACATCTTTTTTGGATGACAACTCAAAATGCTATTTTTGTACTGAAACAATAAATATGCGATGTCATGGAAAGCAAAATGCATATGAATTTTTAAGATCAACCAAGAAGACTTCGTAAAATTTTTCCTACCTAGAGTTTAGGGCATAGAACTGTACTTTCTGCCTGGGGTAGGCTCCAGATATCCTGCAGTGAGGGAGCACGAAGCACCTAGCAGCTAGGCAGAGAAGTTTAATGTTGTGGGTCCACTCTAGCCCACGTCATTACTTCTATGCATCTGGTAAAGTACTCAGTGCCTACAGGCTGGGTCCCTACAACCCCACCCAGACCACAGCAACAGCCACACACTTTCCTCTGTGGAACCCACTTCTTTCAAAACATGGCTATTCATGATACTGATTTAGCAGTAAAGAATGACAACAGGGGTTCCACAAGTAATGACATAGCAGGACCAAGAGGACATGGATCTCCAGGCCAAAAAACATCGGGAACCTGTGAGAGGAGTTGGGAAGATCAGGACTGAGATTAAACCCTGGAAAACTCACCTGCAAAAGAAAAGAGACAGGTGAGTCTCAGCATAAAAGACACTCAGTATAAATGCCCCTTATGAGACCAAAGACAACTCTTGGATACAGGGGGTGACACAAGGGAAGAAGCCTAGGAGGCAAAACAAAATGCTCAGGCCATAGGGACTTAAAGAGGGAGATGGGAGTAAGAGTAAACCACAAATAGCCAGGCTAGGGGACAGACCAACAGTTGGGTAAATGGATTGGGCAGGTGGGATGATGGGGGATGGAAAGACAGATAGATGAATGGAGGAACAGTAGATTTATGGATGAACAGATAAGAAGATGGGTTGGAGGGGGGGGAAGGGAGGGATGGATTAGTGGTTGGGTGGAGGAAGGAATGGGGCAATAGAAGGCTGAATGGAAGGGGGAATGAATGGAGAGAGAACAGGTATGTACACAGGAGGGTGAGGAGATATTTATATGAAAGGATGAAGGGTCAATGAAAGGACAGTTAGTTAGACAGGCATATGGACAGGTGGGCAGATGGTGGGTAGATGGATAAAAAGTTGGGTAGAAGTTTAGACAAAATAGAATGGCTGGAGGCTGGACAAATGGGGAGAACAGATGATAGAGTGAATGTATAGTTAGACATATGGATGGATAGGTGGTTGGGACAGCCATTAATGTCCAAGCTGTTTAACACTCCTGAAAGGTTAAGCCCATGCCACATGCCTGTCAAAGTAAATGCAATCAAGGCTGGTTCTAATAGCAAGACAAAGACACCATCAGAAGAATGTGAGACAGAAGCTGAATCTTTCCCTTGAAACCAAAACCGACATTGACATCTTCTTGCTGACCCAGACATTCCTCCTCAGAAGGAGTCCAGCCAAAGTTCTGCTCTGGAAAATCAAATTATGGGGCCAGAGTACAATCTGGGTTAAAGAATTAAAGGAATTTCCTAAGAATCAGCCAGCAGGGGGGCAGATGGGGCTGGGCTCCAATCCTGTGCTTTTGCCAGTCACCTATCAAAGCTAGCAGGGGACTAGGAACATTGAGCCTCCTCCTATGCTCTACACTATACTGTGCCCATGCTGAGGAGGGCATGGTACCAGCAAGTGGCCTAACAGCCAAAACCCACTTTTTCTGGCTGGAAAGGCCTCGTGAGAGCTGCCTCTGTCCTGCCCGCAGCCTTGTCAGGAGTTTATTCCCTACACCAGTTGACCAGGACTTGTGGGAGCCCTATTTGTTAACATTATCCTGTTGCTCATACTGGAGTCAGATGGTGCTTAAAGCTTCAGATACCTCTGAGCCAAGTCCACAAGAACAGTCACTGTGCCCAAACTGAAGACAAGGTGAAATAGGAGGCCTATGGCCTATCTCTCAATGAGGCAGAGGCCACTTTCATCTGTGCTGAAGGTCGGGACCACAGGATCTCTGGCAGACAATGAAAGGTTTGAGGATGAGGGTGCTATTCTCAGTCTCTCAGCAACACATTGAACTGTAAAGGAAAGATGCACCATCGTCACCTTGAAAAAGTGCCACACAGGATAGTGGTTTTTTCAAGTGTGCCTGAGAGTGACAGGCAATGAGCACTTCAGATGGTGTAATGGGCAGGGCTTTACTTCTGGATCATGTCAGCACAGCAGAGGCTGGTATGGAGTGTGTGGGACCCACTGCATTCCTCACACTGCTTTGTGCTTTTGTTATTTTCCAGAATAGAAAGGGAGCTAGGAGCAGTGACAAACACATGTAGTCTCAGCTCTTCATGAGGCTGAAGCAGAAGGATCACTTGAGCCCAGAAGACCCTGTCTCAAAAAAAGGAGGGGTATACAGAATACCAAAAGATAACTGACATATTAAGATGAAGTATTTGTAACATCTGGCAATAAAATGACATCTTTAATCTGAAAGGAACTCATAAACAGATAGGAAAAAAAAATCCCAACTGAAAGTGAATAAAAAGACCTAAGTGATGTGGTTGG